TGCCATTCCCTCAGACCCTAAGTTTGTAGAGCTTGGGGCTGAGAATCCTCAGAGAATTTTACTTGCCCTCCGGTAGCCACTCCCCCAGTAGCTAGTGCAAGAGACCTCAGTTGTCAGCACTGGTGGGAGCGGTAGCCGGGAGTTCCGCGGTCTGGCTATCGCGCTCACGGGAGAGCTGGGAGGGGCCCTTACGGGAGAGCGGGGAGGGGCCCTTAAGATTTCCCCGATGTGTGGAGAGGGAAGGCTAGGGAGTTACACACCTGTAGCCGCAGGTTTCAATGAAGTTACTCCTCTGCTGCAATCTGATGACGTCAGTTGTGGATTAATAATTTGAATGGATTACTGAGTGGTAACTGTAGACAGGTGGGCATGGCTAGAGGAAGTAAGTCAATGGATGCATGACGTTGTAGATTATATTTTTATCCCTGGTTGGTCTGTCTGCTCTCTCTCCCTCCCCTTCTCCTCTCCTTCTCCCTCTCACTCCTTTCTGCTTGCCACAACTGAGCAGCTTTCCTCCACTACATGTTTTGCCTCACTTCAGGTCTGCCATGATGTTTTGCTTACCTCAGGTCTGCAGCAAAGGAGTTGGCTGAGCATAAACTGAAACCTCTGAAGTTTTGAGCCCATTTTTCCTTCCTCTAAATTATTTTTGTCATATATTTCGGTTCCAACAATTAAAAGCTGCCAAATAGAATTGTCCAAGGTGGGTATGGTGCCACTTCCTCCCTACCAGGGCATTAGGAAAGCCTTCACACCAGATAATTCAAGACTTTGATTCACCTTTGCCTGAGTACTCAGTTGTCAACACCCAAGTTTATTATGCTCAATCAAATAAAACCCTTTCTCTTAGCTGATAGTTACTTGTGTACTCTAAGTTTATTTTGCCTGWTTTTTCTTTCAGACTATTCCAAGAACACATATTTAACGTGATTCAACAATGGATTTTGAAGATAGACAATGAAATTAACAATGGAAACATTGAACTTCAGCGCCACGTATGTACGAATAAGACTTTGTGAGATTATTTTTTGCCTTTGCTGATGGTTTTCTTTAAGGACAAACCAGTTCCTACATATACAACTGAAGCAGGAGATTGGGAGAACAAAACAGAAGCTTATATATTAGCTTTTCAATTGATTTTTTTTTAGTTGTCAATGTCAAAATTTATTTTATTTATTTATATGTGGATCTGAGAATTGAACCTAGTGCTTCACACATGCTASGCAAGTGCTCTACCACTGAGTTACAATCCCAGCCCCTCAGTATACTTTTATTTTTTTATTAGTTGCCCAAGACAATACAATGATCTTGACATATCATACATTTGATTCAAATAGGGTATGAATTCTCATTTTTCCACGTGTACCGATTGCAGGATCACATTGGTTATACATCTATGTGACCTCAATATATTTTTAAATGCATAATGTTCTTGCATCTGGAATAGAGTTTTAAAGTTCTAACTATTAACTTTACTCTTTGCTAAGTATATTGACATTGTTTTCCTCAATGGCATTAGTCAGGGATATGGCCATTTTAAAGACTTTTGTAGGATTGTGTTTCTGTCATTCCTTCAGTCCCTACCTGAACATGTTACTAGGTGAAAAGAGAGATGCATCAGTACTGTTGGTCTGTAATTACTAGAAAAACAGAATTATTCTGCAATTGTGAAAAAACCAAAGCTTATGGATTAATAAATCCATAAGCTAGTAAATATTAAATAATGATTTCCAAGGATGTCTTAGTTTACTACATTTACTCTTACTGCCAACTCTTTTTAGAATCAGAATGTACATAGGAATCTCTTATTATAAGAGATGCAAATATTTGATCTTATAGAATCAATAAACTTAATTCATTTTAATATTGCTTAAGTTAGGAATTTGAAAGGCAGCAACACCATGTTATATGGGAACAACTACTGAAGAAACATTACAATTCTGGGCTGGGGTTATGGCTCAGCAGTAGAGTGCTTGCCTTGCACATGCGAGACCCTGGGTTCGATCCTTAGCACCACATAAAAATAAATGAATAAAATAAAGGTATTGTGTTCAACTACATTTAAAAAATTTTTTTAAAAAATTACAATTCTGTCAACTTGTTATCAACCTGTAGACACCAAGAATTGAGGAGCAAATATGTTAAGTCTGGAAGTATGGATCCATAGGATCCTTAGGCTTGGGGAAAATTCCAGTGTCTTTTGAGAGACAACAAAAAATGAAAAAGAAAAAGGGAGATGGAGTGCATGTCACATAGGTGGGACTCAATTTTTGTTGAATGAAGCTAGGAAGAACATTCTGGCATTGTTGGTGTCTTATGGTGTTGCTATATTAAACCCATCTTGGCAAAATACTCAGTTTACTATTAGGGTTTGATCTCCATGAAATCTTGAACTCATTTTTTTTTTTTGGTATTCTAGAAATTCAGTTTTTATAATATAGATAGAAATGCTTTTATATACTCATAGTATATGTTTTAATCAGCTTTATTTGCTGCTGTGACAAAAAGACCAGACCAAAACAATTATACAATAGGAAAAATTTATTAGAGGGCTCACGGTTTCAGAGACAACAGAGTCCATTCCTTAGGGCTTGAGGTGAGGCAGAACATCATGGCAGAATAGTATAGTGGAGGAAAGCAGCTCACAAGACCATCAGGAAGTAGAGAGAGACTCCACTTGCCAGATATAAAATACTTACCCCAAAGGCACATCCCCAGTGACCCGCTCCTTCTGGCCACACCCCACCCACCTTCAGCCACCACGCAGATAATCCCATCATGGATTAATTCACTGATTGGGTCAAGGCTCTCAAGACCCAATCATTTCTCTTCTAAACCTTCTTGCATTGTTTTACACATAAACTTTTGGGGGATACCTCACATCCAAATCATAACAATATACCTCTATTTTAACACTGCATTATTAAAATTAGTCTGTGTGGAAAACTGAAAAGATTGTAAGCTCCTTCAGGAACTCTGTGTATCCATATTAACTGGTACAAGAATTTAAAAATATAAAATTTGTCTTTTTTTTTTTCACTCACCAAGCAGTTTTTCCTTTCTGATTCATTGTCCAACCTTCAGTTTTATTGTTTTTCCTTTGCCCTCTTACTCTATTTAATAATCTGTGCTGCTTGGCTGTCCAAAACAGTGGCCTCTGAACATTTATTTTATTTTTTATTTTAATTTTCATTAAAAAATTATTTTAATTTTAGTTATACATGACAGTAGAATGCATTTTGACCCATCATACATAAATGGAGTATAATTTMTCATTCTTCTGATTGTACATGATGTAGTGAACATTTTTTTATCATGTAATTCTATAAGCAAAATAATCTTTGAGCGAGTAATTTGTAACTTACAAATTTTAATTTGCCTACCAGAGTTACTCCGTTGAGTTACTCCATTKAGTTATATGTCGTAAAACTTATGCCAAAAAGTCAAAAGGGATAAATGATATTTTCAAATAAGTTTTAGTAATAATTAAAAAACTGGCCAGGTGCAGTGGCACACACCTGTAATCTCAGTGGCCCCAGAGGCTGAGACAGGAGGATCTCGAGTTCAAAGCCAGCCTCAGCAATGGCGAGGTGCTAAGCAACTGAGTGAGACCCTGTCTCTGAATAACATACAAAATAGGGCCGGGGATGTGGCTTAATGGTCAAGTGCCCCTGGGTTCAATCCCCAGTACCAAAAAAAAAAAAAAAAAAAAAAAAACCCAAACTGATGTTATTGAACAGGTTTTATAATTTACATAATTACAAGGTTACTATTTTATTGATAGTTGAAGGTCTGCTTCTAAGTTCAGTTTACTTCAGTAGTTGTTTTAAATGAGTCATTGTTGAAATGATAGTTCACAAAGAGATGAATCTAAACAAATTGCATCATTTAACACTTGCTTTTCAATTCTATTAATTGTGCAATGATTTCTTTTTTAAAAAAATATTTATTTTTTAATTGTAGTTGGACACAATACATTTATTTTATTTATTTTTACGTGGTGCTGAGGATTGAACCCAAGGCCTCTCACACATGCTAGATGAGCACTCTACCCCTGAGCCACAATCCCAGCCCTAGAATGGTTTCTTCTTAATTGACTAGTAAAATTTTCCTTCTATCAAGTCACAGTTCCTTTTGCAAACACTAGACAATGTAGCATTTCTATATCCCAGTTAATCAAAATATTTTATTTGTAAGATTTAAAAAATATTTATTTTTTAGTTGTAGTTGGACACAATATCTTTATTTATTTAGTTTTATGTGGTGCTGAGGGTGGAACCCAGGGCCTCGCATGTCCTAGGCGAGTACTCTACCGCTGCGCCACAATCCCAGTCCTTATTTGTAAGTTTTTATAACAGATTAGAACTTTATTTCTATATTTTTTAAAATTTTGGTTGTATGGACATGATACCTTTATTTTATTTACTTATTTTTTATGTGGTGCTGAGAATTGAACCAGGCTTACATGTGTTAGGCAAGCATTCCACCACTGAGCTACAATCCCAGCCCTACTTCTAGATTTTTAAATATATGCTTTGAGACTTTTAAAATATGATTTATGTATCATTTTCAGCAACAAATTCGCACCTCCCTGAGTGGCAGGGAGGAATGGGGGAGGTGCTGGGGAGTGATGTTGGCCAAATTATATTGTTATATCGTGTACATGTTCAAATATGTAACCACAAATCCCATGAACATATACAACTACCATGCACCAATAAAAACACGTAAAAAGAAAAGATGATGTCATTAAAAGTGGCTATGCATTTGATATTGACATTGTGATCTATGTTTAGTTCACTCTGTACCCGCAGATGTCATATATCATTACCTCCCTCAATTAAAAACCCTACAGCATCCTCATGAGTTTTCTGTGGAGCGCTGGAATGTCTTGATGCACCGAAGGAAATTTGGGAACTGTAGCTTTAAGGTGCTAGTATCCTTGCCAACCTAAAGAATAAGAGACTAGTTTAATGTAGGACAGTGCAGAAGAAAAGGGGGTTACACTAGATAAGTGGTGATTATTTGAGTTCCTTAAGAATCATGGGATTGTTGAAACTTGAACAGAGGTATGATCATTTCTGTTTTTAAATGTGGTATAATTTTTACCGTTTTTATTTAAAATGGGTCATTTGTGTTATGATAATTTTTAACAGATGGATGAGTTGCACATTTCTATGGTCCAGTGGATGGTAAATATGCTGATTATAATGGTTCCTGACTTTACTGACCAAAACACTCTTCCAAAATTGGAGGAGGAAAGCGCTGAGAAACGAAATATAAGAGTTATGCAGTTGGAGCTAGATGCGACTGCACTGGCAAGAAAGTTGTCCCAGTACTCCACCTATTTGATCAGGTAAAACTGTCTGGTTATTTTATTGCTGCTCATTTAAAAAATAAATATACAGAAGGCAGACAAGAAGGACAGCAAAGTAGCAGCAGTAGGGGTTATTTTAAAATCTTCAAAGAAATACTATTTTAATTTCTCATCTGACTTCGACACTCTGCCCAGTTGAGATATAAGATTTTGGTGTTCTCTCCTAGCCTATTGGAATTATTTTAGAAACAATGTTAGCATAGGAAGGATGAGAACTGTGTTTGTATGAGGGTGAGAATTAGTTTAAAATAAAAAGATCAACTTGCTTGTGTAAGTAAGATACACCTTGCATTAAATGCACATGAGACATTTAAAGAAGCTTGTGATTTTTGTGTAATTCCCTGCAAAATTGGATGTATGCTTTTGAATGTTTGACTAAATGCCACAAAATATCTCTTAAAAATGAAAAAAATATTGTTATATCTGAAAAACTAGAAAAGTCACATCAAATAAAGATGAGGTATAATCTGTTAACTACAATGAAGATGGTCAGAATGGTTATTTGAACTTTGGGAAGTAGCTCTTACAGTCTAGTCAGAGTTTTCCTTCAATTTAAGTTTGCCAATGGACCAGGGTGAAAAAAGTAGAGGAGAGGAAGAGGAAAATGGTGAAAAATTTAGGAAGGGACAAAATGTGAGCCTGTAGCTGAATTACTATGGTTAATTCCCACTGTATCTGGATTTTAAACACTTAGTGGAACCAATAACAAATAGTTCACGCTAAAAATATTTGTTAACTTCCCATTACTATAATGAAATGCCTGAGATAATTAACATATAAATAGAAAAGGTTTATATTGGCTCATGGTTTTGGAGGTGGCTCATACCTGTAATTCCAGCTACCCAGGAGACTAAGGTAAGTTTACAGTTCATGGCCCCAGTACTTTGGATCTGTGGCGAGGTGGCATGTCAATCATTGTAAGATAGCATGGTAGAACAAAACTGCTCACTTCATGTGCCAAACAGCAGAAGAGGAAGAGGAAAAGAAAGAGACTGAGGTCCCACAATCCCCTCCAAGGGCACATCACCAGTGACCTAAGGAACTCCCCTGAGGCCCCACCTCCTGAAAGTTCCACCACCTCCCAATAGTACCCCCTTAGAGACCAAGTGTTAACACATGGGCCTTTGGGGGGATACTCATCTAAACCATAGAACTGAGTGTGATTTTTCCTTTTCCCTGTACTTTGTTTTGCGGATATTATTGTTTTGTTTGGTTTGGTTTTTTGCAGGTGTTGTAAAGGGATGGTAACAGCAATGGCTCTGACTCAAGCAGCACAGTCACAAAGTAATCCTGCTAAGGAGCTTCGGGAGCTAGATAGGATGAAGGTAATACTTCTTTCTTCCACTTTGTTTTGAAGATATCCAATGACTCAAGGGTGTGCACCTTGTAGCCTCTCCTTTCAACCTCATCCTATCTCCAGGTAATATCTGGTCCACTTTTTAACACCAAAGATTATTTTTCATTTTCTAGAATTTATGTTAATGGAATCATATAGAATATAATTTTTTTGGTCTGACTTTTTTGACTAAACATTTATTTTGATATTTATACATGTTGCTTTTATCTAAAGTTGATACTTTTTAGTGCTAGTTAACATATAATAAAATACATATACACAGATATATGTTTTGTTATAGGGATATACATAATTTATTTATCCATTATCTATTGGTGGGCATTTGAATTGTTTCTAATGTTTTATTATTAAAAGCAAAGCTTCAGTGCATATTTATGTACATGTCTTTGAATAGACTTTTATCCCCATTTCTCTTGGGTAATATCTAAGAATGGAATGTGTGAGTTTTCTGGAGTGGCTAAAGCATTCAGCAGTGAGTGAGTGTCTCGGTTGCTTTATATACTTACTGACACTTATAATTATCAGTCTTTTAATTTTTTGACATTTTAATTAGGTGGGTAGTGATATGTTACTGTGGTTTTAATTTTCATTTCCTTAATGGCATTTCTTTTGCTTATTTTTCATCTTTACATTGTCTGTCATGAAATATATGTTCAAATCTTTGGCCCAGTAATGGCTTGTTTGTTTAATTATTATTGAGTTTTAGGGGTTCTTTATATATTATAAATACCAAGTGTTTTTTTTTCCAGATATATGATTTTATAATATTTTCTCCCAGTCTGTGATTTTTTAATTTCCTTCTCTTAATAGTGACTGAAAGATRGRAAGTTCTTAATTTTGATGAAGTTCAAGCTATTTTTTTTTCTTCTATGGATCTAGCTTTTGGTATTATACTTAAGGAAATTTTTGTATAACATCCCAAAGATTTTCTTCTTATTTTTTTTCTAGAAGTTTTATAGTTTTAGACTTTATACTCAGGTCTATGACTCATTTTGAGTTGAAATATTTTCATATATGATTCCAGGTATGGATCGAAGTTCCTTTTGGAGCATTTGGATATCTAATTGTTTGGGAACCGTTTGTTGAAAAGACTGTCCTTTTTTCTCTATCAAGATGCCTTTGCATCTTTGTTAAAAAATCTATTGATCATATGTAAGACGCCCTTTATTAGATTGAGAAAGTTCCTTTTATTCCATGTTTACTGAATATTTTTTTCAGTCAGGAAAGGATATTGAATTTCATCAAGTTCTTTCTCTACATCAATTTGGGATGACCTTGAGTTGCCTTTTTAGTTTGTTGAATTACATTGATTGACTTTTAAAACTTGAATGTCATAGTGACTTTTAATTACTGGAATAAACTCTACTTGATCATGAGGTATTATCATCCTTCTATGTATCACAAATTCAATTAATTAAAATTTTGTTTAGATTTTTTACATTGATGTTCACAGGGATGTTGATTACATACATTGTCTTGTAATGTATTTGGTTCTGATACCAGGGTAATACTGGCTTATTATTCAGGGTAATGAGTTGAGAAGTATCTCTTACATTTCTATTTTATTGAACAATTTGTTTAGAATTGAATATTATTTCTGCCATGAAAGTTTGATAGAATTCACCAAGAGGCCCCCAAATTTTAAAGATTTTAAAAGACAGTATCTCTAAGATCTTGGGGTAGAAAATATTTTAAATTTTATTTTTATCAAAATAAAAAAGCACTAAAAGAAAAGATTATAATTTGATTATCTTAAATTTAAGAACTTCTAAAAAATGTCTCAAAACCAGAAACAAGCCACAGATTAGAAGAATACATTTGCAACACCTATAACTGATAAAAGACAAGTATCCTGAATATGAAATGGCCTTCTGTGATCAATAATATGAAAATAACCCCATAGGAAAAAAGTGGACAAAATTTGAACGTATACTTCACAAAAGAGAAAATCCAATTGGCTAACATTTGAAATGATGCCTCAATTTCACAAGTGATCAGGGAAACATAAATTAATATCAATTGCTTACCTATCAAATTGGTAAAACATACAAAATTTGACAATGCAGAAGTGTTAACAAGAATGGGGTAAACAACAGGTACTCTGGACACTGCCTGTAAAAATGTAAATGTATGTGTTCCATTTGGAAATCAGTGGGCGTTACTTGTTAAAAGTTGGATTCCCACACCCAGGAAAGTAACGTTTCTATTTGTATATCTATAATAACTTGAGAAGATTTTGCAACAAATTCACTAGACTGGGAGACATATTTGAGAATATCCTTAGTAGTATCTCCAAAGTAGAAACAGTTCAAATATCCATAAACAGCGAATGGATAATATGGTATGCGATAACTGGCATATAGAATGCAAGTAATTTTCTGTTCTTCACCTTGTGCTGTTTAAATGAATGTTCTTATTAAATGGCATGTATGTGTGTTATACTTTTTTTTATGTATGACCAAGTTCACAGTTTTTAAACAGAGTATTATTAAAAATTATGTACATCTCAATCTCAATGACTTGGGAGGCTGAGGCAGAAAGATCACAAGTTCAAAGCCAGCCTCAGCAATTTAGTCAGGCTGTAAGCAACTTAGTAAGACCCTATCTCAAAATAAAAAAGGATTGGGATGTGGCTCAGTGGTTAAGTGCCCTGGGTTCAATTCCTGGTACGAAAAAAATTATATGTGTGTGTGTTTTGCGCGCGCGCACACGCACACACTCATACATTATGTACAATATCTTGCTAGCAAGCTTTTAAGTCTCTAGGAGATGGAGACTTTGTAGGAGAATATAAAATAAATAGCACTAATTCTGGAAGGAGAAAAGTGGCCAATTTTCAGAGAAGAAATTGATGCATCAAGTTTAAAAAAATAAAAGAAATTACCTGGACTCTGTAGACAGTGTTTTTAGACTTTGAAGGAGCAAGGGTAATCCCTGTGATATATAAACAATTCAGGAATATAGATAATGATTAAAAGATTTCCCAGTTTATTTCATATGGCTAGCAAAGTTCTTTTAAAAAATCCCAATAAGTATAGAGGAAATAAGCCTCATAAATATGGATGCTAAATCCAAATTTAAAATAGCAAATTTCACTTAGCAGAAAGTTAAAAAAAGAAAATGCTGTGTGTGAACAATTAGAGTAATGTCAGAGAGGGAAACTCCTTGAAAGTGTTTTCCTCTAGGTGTGTTTCACTTCTTATCTGGGAGTTGAATGAAACATATCCGTTTCAGTTCTGGTTCTGAGAAGCTTCAGGGTGTTCTTCACAACAGACTGATGTGCCCCTGAACCGAGTAGCCCCTTGGAGCTTGCCATCCTCATTGCACATCTAAAAATGTGCTTGGATCTTTTTAGGCTTGCTATAACCAGCCCTACCAGTACCCACCCTCAGAAATGATGGAAATCCCGATTTTGGCCGGATGGATGTGCCATGAATAGTGGTGGAGATCCACGGTCAGCTCCATGTCATACTTAATTATTACTTATTTAAAAGGAGGTAGAACTCTGTGTGGTGAGACCATGTTTCCAGATAAAGGCAATTTTAGAATAAGATCTTCAGGACGCTTTGGTGTATACTTCCCTATTAAAGTTAAGGCAATAGCAATATGAGGGATACTATAGTGAGGGGCCATTCCTAAGGGGACCTGGGGACCTGCAGACCTGCATACTGTAAAACCATCTGTATTCGATCTTGTGAAAGCACTGTACTATGGGCCATTCATTGCCCATTCCACCCAGGCCCTGATCAAAGGCCCATGACCTCATCATCTCTCTGAGGATCCACACTTCCCATTGGTACTGCTTAGGTCCTCTGTTAAGCTCTTTATCACTAACCCTTTACAAATGGTCTGTGATAAATTAGGAGAATATTATCAGATGAATGAGAATCTACTCTTATATCAGAAATAAGATTCTAACTAATCCCATGCTTGGACCTTTTTTTCCTAAAACAATATGTGCCCTGTATTTAATTCTGCAGCTGAGGTCTTTCAGGATATATAAAACTATTTAGGGGGCTAAGCAGACCTCTACTTCTCTTAGAGTGCTTTAGCACTCTAAAATGAGTGGCTAGTTCCAGTTTTTACTTTTTATTTTTTTAGTTGTAGATGGACACAATACCTTTATTTTATATGTTTATTTTTATGTGGTGCCGGGATCAAACCTAGTGTCTCCCACGTGCTAGGCAAGTGCTCTGTCACTGTGCCACTTCCCCAGCCCTAGTTCCAGTTTTATTGAAGTTATCTTAGTTTCAAATGCATTAGTGTCATCCCATGATCTCCTAGACGACCTCTATGGTATGTGAATCTTGTGACATCAGGTTCTGGGGACTCAGATGGCCCCATCTATATCCCATGAGGTGAAGAGTAAAAGATGGTCTTCTGGAGAAGCCTTGTCTAATGTGGGTATACAGTGATGCTGTGGGCATCACCTTCTAGCATTTTAAGATGTTTTTTCTAGCATTTTAAGAAGCTATGTTCTAGGGTTGGGGATGTGGCTCAAGCGGTAGTGCGCTCGCTTGGCATGCGTGCGGCCCGGCACCACATACAAACAAAGATGTTGTGTCCGCCGAAAACTAAAATAAATAAATAAATAAATATTTAAAAATTCTCTTTCTCTCTCTTAAAAAAAAAAAAAAGAAGAAGCTATGCTCTAGACCATCATCTTGAAAACCTACTAAAGGCTATTATTAGGATAACTAGTGATAGTTTTCCAAAATCTAATGTTTTGAGAATTCCTTTCCAATAAAGGAGATTCACATGATTCTGGACAGAATTCTGAAGTGGGAAGGCTTCTAAGTAAAGTTTTGGAGTTTTACTCCACTTTTTGGGCAAAACAACCTACATAAAACACAAAATTTCAAAAAGAAATGGGTAATTCTCTAGTTCTCCAAGATTACTAAGTCAGTCTAGTGACTAATGACCGTATTTACCTCCCAACTGATCCTGGCATATCCTGATCCAGTCTTGACCTCCCACAGTTGAGCTCCAGTTAAATTCAGGAGACCATTTTCCTGGAGGGCTCAGTCCCAGGATCCTTGCCTTTGTGTCTGTTTTCTTTCTTTTCTTCTTCTTCTTCTTTTTTTTTAGCTGTAGATGGACACAATATCCTTATTTATTTTTATGTGGTATTGAGGATCGAACCCAGTGCCCCACAAGCCTCAGCCCTTGTGCCTGTTTTCTGAAAGGAGCTGGTCTCTGTATATCACCTGCTCCACTTAGTAATGACAATTGTTTGTCCTTAAGGTTTCATTTGAAGCTTGGAGGCATTAAAGTGGAGTATTGGCTTCAATAAAAGTATACTGGTACTGTACAACCGGGAGTAACAGCTAAAAACATGGAAAGAGTCCCTAGATAGATAGATATCATTTAAAGTGCTTTAGGTTTGCTGGCCACTTTTAATCCCAGTGGCCAGGAGTATTGTGAATTCAAAGTCAGCCTCAGCAAAAGTGAGATGCTAAGCAACTCAGTGAGACCCTGTCTCTAAATAAAGTATAAAATAGTGCTGGGGATGTTGGCTCAGTGGTCGAGTTCAATCCCCAGTACCACCCGCTCCCAATAAATAAAAGAGTGCTTTAGGTTAACTATCTTTAATGTTCCAGTACCTACAATTAGAGTCACTTATAATCCTGGAGTTGGTTGTAGCCAGAAGTCAGTTTTAAGAGCTCCAACTAAAAGTCCTCAATTTCCTTGGTATTAGCAGGTATTTCTCTCCCATTCTTAGGTGCTAGACTTTTTTTACCCATCCTAGCCTGATGAAAGATAACTTAGAGATCCTTCCAGATCACCTGCTCTTTGCTCAGATCATGATTTCCTCTATGCCATTCTTACCCATCTCTGCCCCTCTGTAATCTATAAAGGCCATTCATCTTGAGCTGCAGTTGCCTCCTTTATGTCACCCAAGAAACTTCTAGTTCCAGGATTTGGTCCTCCAAAAGGAGTATGACTTTGAAGAGTAGTACTAGAAACCTGCTTCTCATGATGTTCCATCAGGTAAATTCAAGAAAGTTCCAGCTTTCCCTACTTGTACCCATAAAAGACTATCTCCTACAGCTTTCTGTTTCTCCTTTTTTTTGATCAACAAAAGTGGGCTTAATATTTAGGATCACATCTTGCTTCTTAAATCCTCCTTCACCCCAGGAAGTAAATTTTAATCCTTTGGCTTTTTACCAAAAGCATTTATTAACATAGTGCTGAATCAGACTTTATTAGAATTAAATAGGAAAGTATTCATGGAAAGAGATTTGTGTTTATTGATTAGGCATCCAAGCTACCTTCCCCTATACCTCATAAAGGGTGATGTTGAAGATTTTGAAGGAAAACCTGCTTAAATCTGGAAAACTTAACTCTACAGATCACTGTAAAACTTTTATTAAAAACTCCTAATGATTTTCCCCCATCAAAAGTCGTCTTACAAAAATATTTTCAATGTCTCAGAAGTTTGTAAGAGAATGACTAGGATCTGCTTCATAGTATGTACATTCAATAAGAGAATGGTGAATTAACTCTGAAGAAATAAAAACTTTAAAATACCATTAATTTTTTTAAGAATTAATAAACACAGCTGGTCATAGTGGCATGCCTATAATCCCTGCAATTTGGGAGGCTGAGACAGGAGGATCACAAGTTCAAGGCCAGCCTCTGCAAATTGGTGAGAACCTGTCTCAAAATAAAAAAATAAAAAAAGGTTAGGGAATATAGCTCAATTGTAAAGCCGCCCTGGGTTAAATTTTAAGCATGCCCCTGCCCAAAATATAAAATTAAATTAACTAATGCTTTTGTTCTAGGTATAAGAAAGAAGGTAAATAATATATTCATCGAATGTTATAGCTGGAAGAATCCTTAAAGGTAGTGGTGGAATGGAGGCTTACATGGGTTTAAAAAGAGCTGATTGTACACCTAGTGACAACATTTGGAATTAATGAATATCATGGAAATTATGATGGTGGGAGCATTCATATCATGGGAATCAGCATTTGCTACAAATCAGGGCTCCCCACCCCCAAGATGGTTGTTAAACATTTTCTAGCTCATGAATGTATAAGGGTCACCTAGAATAAACCACCAACTTCATTTTTTAAAAATAGATGAGGACTATGAAGCATCTACTAGAGAACTCACAACTAATTAGGTAAAGTTAGGAGTAAAACCCAATACTTATCATCTGCCTTGTCCAGTTCTTTTGGTGATATGCAATAAGACATCATCCTAAACCATTGAATTCAGAATGTAAGCATCTGTCCTGTGTTAGGTTTATGTCACTATGACCAAAATGTCCAACAAGAACAACTTAGAGGAGGGAAAGTTTATTTTGGGCTCATGATTTTAGAGGTTCATCCATAGTTGGCCAGTTTCATTGCTTTGAGATAAGGCAGAACATCACGGCAGAAAGGTGTGGCAGAGGAAAGCTATTCTTAACGATTAATTTCTCTAAATGGGCCATTACCATGACATTTTGATTTTTGAGCCTTTTTTTTTTTTTTTTTTGGTACTAGGGATTGAACCTGGGATGCTTAATCACTGAGCTATATCCCCAGCCTTTTATATTTTTTGAGGCAGAGTCATATCTCAATCTGGCCTCCAGGTTGTGGTCTTTCTGCCTCAGTCTTCCAAGTAGCTGGGATTACAGGCAGGGGCCACTGTGCCCAACTGTGAGTAATATTTCTGTATTGGTTAAAACACAGACAAGGGCTGGGGCTGGGGCTCAGTGGTAAAGCACTTGCCTAGCATGTGAGGCACTGGGTTCAATTCTCAGTACTAATAAAAATAAATATACTGTGTGTTCATTTACAAAAAAAAAATTWWAAAAAAAACACAACCTAGATTAGAATCCAATTATGCTTTATAYATATCCAGGATATTTAACTAGATGTTTAACTGTTATATTCCTCATCTTTAAAAAAATGAGGATAAAAATAATTTGTACCTCTTATTGAGGCTCAAATTAATTAATATATTTACATTTCTTAGAGTTTGTCATATAATTATATATTATGTAAGTGCATGTTATTGTCATGCAATCATTGTTGAACTGGTCACTCACATACAGTTTATCAGGACAGACAATTTAGAGTGTTAGTAGACCCAATAATTCTTCTGCATCTGGTTTTATGGCACATCATTATACCTTATCCTGTTATAAACCTGATCTCAAACTTGGTCAAATAAGAGATACATTCCATGTTCACAGTAAATCGCTTCTGAACCAGTCTTTGAACTGTACTAATACAAATTTAATTGAAGGGAGTTATATTTAGAAGAATTGTACTCAGTTGTTCCTCAGTAGGAGTGAATGACTGAGTTGGTTTAATCTGATATTTTCCGACATAGAAATTTTCTTGTATCTCTTCTCAGAATGAATGTTATGAGTGGATCAACACATGTACTCACCTCCTTTCTCAGATCAAAGGCAGAAAAGTGAAGTTATTGACATCTAAAGAAAAAGAGACACTACTTGAAGAAGAGGTATTTGTTACATGTTAGCATTATTTCATTTCTTTGATGCCTRGGATCTGTCATTATTTGGGTCATTATTCAGGTCCTTCTTGTATTTCATTAGGTGAGTTTCAAGCAACTTTTTCCACTGAGTATTGCAAATCCTCATTTTTACTCTATCAGAAGAGAATTTGATCAAGAGCATTGGCAACTTTTCTCCCTTTTAAGGAAGAAAATCACCTACCCAAACATCTTGCCTCAGTTTGTTGGCAGGTGGTTTTTAAAAAATTTGTTCTTTTTAGGTATACATGACACAGAGTATATTTTGACATGTTGTACATACATGGAGAATAACTTATTCTAATTAGGATTCCATTCTTGTGGTTGTACATGATGTGGAGTTACACTGGTCATATGTTTATATTCAAGGTTAAGAAAGTTATGTCCAATTAATTCTACTGTCCTTATTTTCCCCTCCCCCTCCCCTTCCCTTCATTCCCCTTTTGCTGGTATGTGGATGTTAACCCACAACAAGGGAAGGTGGGGAGGGGAAGAATAGAAGTCCATTGGATTAGACAAATGGCAGGTAATTTTTTAATCCTACTTCATAAGGGAAGAATGGCTTCCAAGTACAAGCTCCCTGCTACTTCCTCAGATGCCTGCTTGTGTATTCACCCTTCTATCTCTCCAGCCTTAGTCTTTCCACCTGGTTACTTTTTCCTTTGGACATTTAATCTCATGTCCAAAGTCTTCTCTCTTTTCTATCTATCTTTAGTATCTTTCTCTCTAATAGTTCCATTTTATCTATCTAAAAACAACCTATAAACATGGTTCATTTTTCCCATTTTTTAGAATCCCATCACAATCACTTTAATTAAAACTCTAAAACTACTCGAAGGTCATCAGTGATTTTTTATTGTCTTGTCAAAATATCTCTAATCCCATTTGCTTTTGGCGAACACTGTTAGAACATTATTCTTTCTATTAAACTAAATATAATATGCCTACTTTATCTTTTTCTACCCACAGGTCCTAATTCAGTCTTTTGGGTTAATGTAAATAAAGTGGCTTTGCCTTTCACATTACAGTATTCCCAGCATTTGAAAACAACCACATCCACTTAAGTCTTTTTCTGAATTTTCTATCCTTACCCATTGCTTTTTTCTATTTATGGGTCATTACCACAACATTTTAATTTTTGAGGCTTTCTGATATATTTTCATATCTGGTAGGGCCAATCATTCTCATTGATCTTTTTTCCAGGTATTTTTTTTTTTTTGCTTTTCTTGCTTATTTATTCTTCTGTATAATTTTATCATTGAGCTCTAGAAAAATATGATTTTTTAAAAAACTGAGAATATTAAATTTATATATTAACTTGGAACACATGTTTATGATGCTGGATTGTTTTAACCAAGAACATGGGATATAGGATGTCTATTTTTATGCCTTTGAGGTGAGTTCTTTATTTTGCCCAACCTCTTTTTATAACTAACTTACTGTCTTACTGTCCTAAACCCTTATCCTTGCACCACTTTGCAAGTTTGACTTTAGAATATGATTTACTTTCTTGGCTTTAACTAAGTCATATAACTGTCAAATATCTATCTTTAGCTCAAATCCCTCCATATTTTCAGGTATTTACTGGATATATAAACTCAGATATCTCAGCAATACCTCAGACTCATATAGCCTAACCTGAACTCGTCCCTCTCCAAACCTGTTTATCCATCTTTGTTCATTATCTCTGAATGGCATCATCATCTATCTAGTGGCCTAAATTATAAACCATGTGTCATTCAAGATGCACCTTTTCCCTAATCATCCAATGTCCATCTTTTTTTAAAAAATATTTTTTAGTTGTAGTTGGATGCTGCCCCTGACCTGCGAGGGCAGCTAATCTTCAGGTCGCTCCTGTGAATTTCCAGGGACACCAAATAAAACACAGACACACACTTTACCTTTAAACAAGCTTCAGGATGGCTCCTTCGATCTCAGCCTCAAGCTCCCCAAATGGGAGAGCCAGGAAAAGTCACAAGAGGCTGGCGAGAGAGAGCAAGCATGTCTGGAAATGGGCTTTTTTATTGGGGGGACCCTTGTTCTTAGAAAGTTCCATCCAAAAAAGGTCAGGAGGGGCCGGGTTACAAAGGACAGGCGAGTGTAATTCGACCCAAGGAGCTGCAGGGCTACACACCTACCTGTGAAGGTGCGTCCTCAACTTCCAGAACCCCGGCAATGTCCAGGTCACTACGAGATGTAGTGACGGTCAAAGCCTCTCCGGGGGCGGGGAAAACACGAGTCATACAGAGTGGCCTCCCACAGTTGGACACAGTACCTTTATTTTATTTATTTAATTTTATATGATGCTGAGGATCCAACCCAGGGCCTCGCACATGCAAGGTGAGCGCTCTACCTCTGAGGCACAACCCCAGCCCCCCATCCTATGTCCATCTTGTCAATCACAAGAGTTACCTCTTAAACATCTTGAGTGCTCTTCCTCTTCATCCCTGCAACCTCTGTTGTTCATTCCTGCTTTCTGTCTTTTTCTTCTCCCTTCTCTTTCATTCTCTTCCTCTTTTCCTTTTTTCTTTCTTTCCTTTTGCCTGCCTCATTACTTTCAGGGTAAAATCCAGTTTCCATGGCATGGCCGTCTAGCCTGTCCTCTATGATTGTTCTTGTCTTCTTACTTACCTCAAATATTCTATTCAATTGAACTACTTTTATTTTCAAACCAGTTATTTACATACAAAATCCTCTGCCCAGAACCTCTTTGTGCTTTCTTCCTTCCTTTTCTTAGGCTACAAGAAAAAACTCAGACATCTMCTCCAGGAAACCTGCTTGACCAACCTTCTCTTTCACTTGGTCTGCATTAGGTGCTCCCTACTGCATGACTATGGACATCTATAGGATTTGTTGTCCACAAAATTGTAAGCTTCTTTAAGGCAGGGACCTTTCTTACCAACTTTTGTGTTCTTACCAAGGGCTCATTACCCAGTTGCAGAATTAGCACTCAATTAAGATGTATGAATAAATAATGACAGACAGTAAGCCTTGATTATAATATTGTGTCATCACACAGGAAGTTAGAAAAGACTTCATTGAACCTGAAATAGATATAGATAAGCCTTCTAAAGAGGATGAAGAATTAAGTGAAGAGACTAAGGAATCTCAGGAGAGAGTGGAAGAGGAAGAAGAGAAAGCAGAAGAGGTATGATTATTTGCTGGGGAGTAGTAGTGGGTACCTGTAGTCCCAGGTGCTAGGGAGACTGAGGCAGAAGAGTTGTTTGAACCCCCAAGTTAAAAAACAGTCTGGTAAGCATATAGGTTAAGATTATTTCCTTCATCTTTTTAAGAAACAGACATAAGCCCCATGGAAAGTAGAAGTAGACCCTCTGGAGTGACTTCTTCCTTTTTTTCCTCATAGATCTAGCCACACCCACAGACACAATTACCCTGTGTCACTCTGTTTTCCTTTCTAAATCCAGCCTTTGTCCATTAGCTGCATTCATCCCTGTCCTACTAACTGAATGAACAACCTCTTACCCTGGTGCTGTTTCTTTGTCCTTCATTGCCAGATTTTTCAAATAGCAGTTTAAATTCCATATCTCCACTGATTCAGCTCCAACCCCAATCTGCTTTTACCTTTCTCCTGTCCCAGCCCCATATTTCTCCCCGTCCTAGTCTCTACCCCTGCTGATGCGTTTGTAGTTATAAAATCCCTTCGTGGGCATTTGTATTAATATAATAAAAACACAATTGTAACTACCAATTATTGAGTTCCCATCATGAACTCTGCACATTCTTACCTATACAAAACAACATGAAGGTATAACATTATGCTCATTTATAGATAGGAAAATTAAAGCTCTGATAGGTTGACTGTATTACCCTAAACCATATAGCTTTAGTGGCAGAACAAACGTTCAAACCTAGATGAGCCTGGCAGAAGAGCACTTGCGGATTCTAGACTAACTGCTACTGTCTTCAGCTTACATAACTCATAACTGCCCAACACTGTCTCCAGKGCCTTGATTTACTTCCCTAATATTCTCTGCATATAGTTTTAACGTGGCCATGACTCCAGACCTTGTCCTGGGCCTTTTACTCACCTAAGGACAAGACAGAACAAAAATATTGTATAGTACCTAAGTCTCTTTTGACCAGCAGTTTCTGTTATTTCTGGTAAAGTTCTTGGCACATAGAAGGCAARTACTTTTCCCTTTGTTTACAGCATAATAATAATAGCTATTATTATTATGAATAATATTATTTTATAATTATATAATAATTATTATATTTTTATTAATATTATCATTGCCTGTGGACTTAGTTCAGGACTTTTTCTGTTTTATAAGCATCTGTTCAGCCTCCAAATGTCATTTTCCCAGTGAACACTTCTGGGCAGAGTTTCTGGACAGAGTGCAAGCTCCTTTTCCTGGGCACACACAGCCTTTGGGACACACTTTTATGCTAACAGTAATCATGTTGTGTTTTGTTTTATTATCTGTCTTCACTGCTATACTGTGAGTTCCTGAGGCCTGGAAGAAATCCTCTGTTTTTCCCATTGGGATCTCCCCTTGTCCCCACCCCTTCTTCCCTAGCAATTTGTCAGTGTTTGCTGTGTGACATTTTCAAAATGCTTGCTGAATGTTTAAGAAAATGGAAAATTAAAGCTTCAGACCTGGCTCCAGGTAACTTGACTTGCCATATGTCATACACCTGCTGGTTAACAGGTCCTTGGTGTTTCTGTAATCCAGATCCCTTCAACATCTACAGAGAAGGAAGAAGTCATTCGATATATTGAGGAAGATGAAAATGTTTATTCCAAACCTCTATCAGGGGAATATGTATTGGCTTCCTGGGTATGTATCTAAAACCCAACTAGGACATTTAAAACTAACAGTGTGTGAAAATGATGTGAATGTTGCATAGCTTTTAGTCCTCTAGGAGGATCAGGCACTCCTAAGTAAGGTATTACATAGATTTTCTTTTTCTTCTAGCATCATCCCTGAAAAACTCTCATTTCTTTATCTTTTCTCATTCTCATCTTTAAGCCTCATTTTAATATCAGAATTTCATTCTTTTATTTTGTCAATCTCCTGGTCAATATTTGATTTTTAGACATATTCATTTAGCAAATTTTATTTTTTTTCTGTCTTTTTTCCCCTATTTTCTGCCCCTTCCTGGGTAATTTATTTGGAAAATAATAAAGTAATTTCACTTTCATCAGTTTCAGTTATACCATGGTCAACCACAGTCTGAAAATATTACTTGGAAAATTTCAGAAATAAACAATTCATAGTTTTAAGCCACACATCATTTTGAATAATATGATGAAGTTTCATACCATCCTGCTCTGTGCTGACCAGGATGACAATTACCCCCTTTGTTCTGCATGTCTGTACTTATGTGCCACCTGCTTCAATAGATGCCCTAGTTATTAGATTGACTGTCACAGAAGCATGGTGTTTATATATAAGGACAGGCACTATTATGGTTCAGATGTGTTGAAGACCTGATCTCCGTCTGATGGCACTCTGAGGAGGTGGGAGATCTTTTAGGAGGTAGGACCTGATGGTTAGGAAGTTAAATCATTGCTTACATGCCCTTGAGGGAGATTTTGGGATATTGACTCTTCCTCTTTCTCTTTGCTTCTTGGCTATCATGAGGTAAGTAGCTTTACTCCACATGTGCCCCCAACTATGATGTTCTGCTTCACCCTAACCAAAGGCAGCAGGACCGAATGACCATGAACTGAAACTTCTGCAATCATAAACCAAAATAAATCTTTACTCCTTTTAAAAGTTGTGTATCTCAGATATTTTGTCACAGTGATACAAAGCTGAATAGCACATAATATCTGCAGTTTCAAGTATCATCTGGGAATCTTGGAAAGTATATCCCCCATGATAAGGGAAAACCACTGTGCTGTCATTTATCAGCCTCAACCAGCAGCATGTGATGTGGCTATTTTTCATTCCAGGGATGCAAACTAGTTCAACATATGTGAATCAATAAATGCAATTCAATAGACTTAAAGAATCACATGATTACCTCAACAGATGGAGAAAAAAGCATTTGACAAAATTTAGCATCCATTCATATTCAAAACACTAGGAAAACTAGAGATAGTAGGAATATACCTCACCATTGTAAAAGTTAAACCCAAGGCTATCATCAGTATAAATGGAGAAAAACTGAAAGTATTCCCTCTAAAATCTAGAACAAGACAGGGACACCCTCTTTCACCATTTCCATTCAACATAGTCCTTGAAACTCTAGCCAGAGCAATTAAGCAAAAGAAAGAAATTAAAGGGATATAAGTAGGAAAAGAATAGCTCAAACTATTGCTGTTTGCTGGCGACATGATCCTACATATAGAAGACCAAAAAATACTTTGGAATCAATCTAACAAAAGAGGTAAAAGACCTCTACAATAAAAACTACAGAACACTAAAGAAAGAAATTATAGACAACCTTAGAAGATGAAAAGATTTCCCATGTTTTTGAGTAGGCAGAATTAATATTAAAATGATCATACTCCCAAAAGCATGATACAGATTTAATGTAATTCCTATTAAAATTCCAGTGACATTCTTCACAGGAATAGAAAAAAAAGTCATGAAATTCATTGAGAAAAATACGAGACTCAAAATAGCCAAAGCAATCCTTAGCAAGAAAAGTGAAGCAGGAGGCACTATAATGCCAGATCTTATATTAAAGAGCTATAGTACAAAAATGGCACCAAAGCTGATATGAAGACCAGTGAAACAGATTAGAAGATGCAGAGACATGCCCACATCAATACAGTTATCTCATGCTAGACAAGGGCACCATAAATATACATTGTAGAAAAGATGGCCTGAAAATGGTGCTGGGAAAACTGGAAATCCATATGTAGTAGAATGAAATTGAACCCCTATCTCTCACACTGCACAAAACTCAATTCAAAGTGGATCAAGGATCTAGCATCAGACCGAGACTCTGTGCCTACATTAAGAAAATATAGGCCCAAATCTCCATCATGTCAGCTTTGGAACCAAGTTCCTCAACCTAGACTCCTAAAGCGCAAGAAGTAAAATCAGGAACCAATAAAGGGGATGGTATCAAACTAAAAAGCTTCTTCACAGCCAGGGAAACAATCAAGAGTGTGAAGAGAGAGTCTGCAGAATGGGAGGAAATCTTTACCACTTGTACCTCAGATAGACCATTAATTTCCAGGGTATACAAAGAACTCAAAAAACTTAACACCAAACACCAAATAATCCAAGAAATGGGCAAAGGAACTGAATAGACACTTCACAGAAGTGTCAACAAATATATGAAAAAATGTCCAATATCTCTAGMAATTAGAGAAATGCAAGCTACACTGAGAGTCCATCTCACTCCAGTCATAATGGCAATTTTCAAGAATATAGGCAACCATAAATGTTGGCAAGGACGTGGGGATAAGGTTCACTCATACATTGCTGATGGGGCTGCAGATTGGTGCAACCACTCGGGAAGGCAGTATGGAGATTCCTTAGAAAACTTGGAATGGAAAACATAAGAAGAGAGTACAATATTAGACTACAAATGAAAACAATCCATACATTTTTTTTTTCTCAGGTTTTAGTGAAAGGTAGTGCAGCAGCACAGTCACACACGTGAGGATGAGGCCCCAACAGGGCTTTGCTTGGTCCCATAGGACCCTATTTTGTGGCTGTCTGGCTACACACTTAAAACTCCCATTTCAGCTGTTATGTGGGGTTTTCCTTTTATTTCCCTCTGATTGGAAAAAAAAGCAGGTAGGTTTTTAAAAGCTCATACTTTGGGGAAATAGAATATTCATTTGGAAATATGCTTATATTTTTTGCCTCTAATTTCCTCTTTCACGTTCCTGTTACTTTGTTTTCAAGAATATATCTAGATTCAAAATATAGAAGTTATTTTTTTTCCTTTCCCTGACAAAAATTTTATATCTTTAAGTGATTTTTATGATGTTCTCTAGTAGGAATTTTAAAAAATATTATTGGGGGGCTGGGGTTGTAACTTTAAGTGGTAGAGTTCACGGCTTGCATGTGTGAAGCACTGGGTTTGATCCTCAGCACCACGTAAAAATAATAAAGTATTGTGTCCCTCTATAACTAAAATTTTTTAAAAATCTTATTGGATTTTGCAACATTATGTGCCTCATGAAGTAAATTATTAATAATAAGATATAGTTAATTTCCTTGATCTTTAATTTGATCTATTACAAAAACATGTTTGCCCTTCTTATTTTTTAAATCCTTGTTCCTCTCTTTTTGTTCTTATTGTGTTTCCTGCCTCTTGTAACTCATAGTGAAATTTATGCCCACTGTAGTATGAATAATTTGGAAGCTTCTGTCTGTTTGGTCACAGGTATCCTTGTTATTTTCTAGTGTTAATAACATGTGTAATAATCTACTGGACAAATATGAGGAGTAGAAAAAGAACATTCTGGAAGGCTTGATACCTAAAGAAGTAGAGTATTAACTTTTGGGACTTTCATTTCCTTCATAYCATGTATTTTCTTTGTCAGAAAGAAGAAGCTGAGCAAGGTATATTGGCTCAAAAGCATGTTGAAGTATTGGCTGTAATTGAACATATGCAGGAGAAATTAAAGTAAGTATAAGGCAGAAAATGAAAGCCACTCACCAGGGGGTTATCTGAAAAATCTACATTTCTTGGCTTACCTTTGGCTGTCTTGCCTACTTTATTCTTACTAGTGTGGTGAGTATCTCCAAATCTTCTGCTAGAGGCAATAAACTGTAGTGCTCTGGAAGGAACATTTGGCCTCAACCACAGTGCAGGTAGGAGGAGTCAAAGTGTATGTATATGCTCACATGTGCATCTGTGTGTAGGGAGTTAGGAGGGTCAGTATGTTTCTAAGAGATGACTTAAGGAAATAAACGGAACTGGGAGAAATTATTGTACTTAAGAGAGAATGTTACATAGCCTAAAGAGTAGGAAGGGTAATGTAGTTAAGATGTCCAAGGATACCAACAGAAGAGCAGGCCATATAGATATATAACATGTGCCCTAATAAGAGGCACATCTCAAACTGGTTTTTGTTGCTGTAGTTATAAAATCTGGTTTTAGAGGTGCAAGAAAAGAAGGGATGCTGTTAGATTTAGTTTGTTGGATCACATCAATATGAAGTCCAAGTTAGGGGCTGGGAATGTGGCTCAGCGGTAGCGCGCTCGTCTGGCATGCGTGCGGCCCGGGTTCAATCCTCAGCACCACATACCAACAAAGATGTTGTGTCCACCGAGAACTAAAAAAAAATAAATAAATATTAAAAATTCTCTCTCTTTCTCTCTCTCTCTCTCTCTCTCTCTCTCTCT